AAATTTTGGGCGGTATCAAGAAACATAATTTTTTTTTTATCTTGGGCGGGATGGAGGCGAGAATTATGGGCGGGAATACTGTTTCTGCAGCTATCCTCCTTTAATATAGTATAAGATATGTCCTCATCTCACTATTCGTTGCCTTGTCGTCAAAATATTGAATGATGTTGCCTTCTCGAAAAATTTACGAATAGTTGTTGACAAAATAAATTATTGTCGTTAGCTTGTCAACTCAATTAATTATTTTTGGATTGTCGTTTGAGTAATGTATCATTAATTATTATTATTAAATTTTTTTTTTGGTCATTTTAAGAATTTGCAGATGGAAGGCACACCTCTTCCCAAATGAATTTTAGCCCCTGTGCCTAGAATTTTTGGATTCGCCCCTGGTTGCTAGCAATCGTCATAGACGAGCATATTTAATATGTGTTTGTCTCCCATTATTGAGAGAAAAATAGAGTAATAAATATCATTTTTTGAAGAATGTGTAGTTGAAAAGTAAAATAATTTTATTGATTTGCATGTAGAATATTTTATTGAGTGAACGTTTGGTGAAGAATCTTACTCTGTCAAATAATTTTTTAATAATTTTTTAAGGGCTTAACAATACATTCCAACAGGCTTGACAATAAATTGTGATTTTAGTTCAAATACACGACTGCAGATTTCTGTAGGAAAAGCTACAGTAGAAAACCTTTGCCTCTCCCAATTTACTCATCCTTTTCCTACAGTCGTATCCTCCACTTTTCTCATCCTTCTTCTTCTTCTTTCAAACTCACTCCCAAAATCAATCCAATTTCATTCTCTTTTTTATCAAGTATTTTTGCCCTTAAATTTCACCCATGACCTCTATTAATTTCAACTCGTTTAATGAAAACTGGTTCAAAAACCCACCAAAAATCCCATTCCAACCCATAAACCTCCTGCAATCATTCTTCAAACCTCACTCCAAGACCCCAAATTTTGCTTCCATTACAAATCCTTTTTCCAGAAAGCCCCAGAATGATCCAAAGAAACCCGGGAAGTACCGCCAAATGCTGGATCAATTCTACTGGGAGTGCGAGAATTTGCCGGACTACCGGCACACCCCGGAGGTTGAAAGGATTTTGAATGAGGACCCAGCTATTGAGAAGAAAGAAAACCCGACCCAGGAAGAAATTGAGGAGAATGAGAAGTGGTGGGCTGATCTTCGGGATAGCCCGGTTGCTCAGTTCTTGGCTCAGGCTGAAGACATTGCTGATAAGCTTAATGAGCTTGAGCTCAAGGAGAATTCCACTCCTTACAGGAGAGAAGACAAGAAATTGTGGCAGGTGCTTTGAGTTTTCTCTTTAGTTTTATTACTATTTTGATACATTTAGTTAAATATCTTTAATAAATGAAGTGTCAAATGTTAATTTTGTAATGCTGTGAAGTTCATTTTCCTTTTTGCATTTGAATTTTGATGTATTAATTGGTTAGAATTTGTTGAAGAAGGCGATGAATTACTTTGTTAGTATTTTTAGTTGCGAATATTTTGTTTTAACCAATTGTTATAGCCGTTCTAGATTAGGTTACACTAATGTTAGATAAAGATGTCACTGGATTTGATTCTAGAATGAAACTAATATATAATTACTGGTTTCAGTTCGTTTTTGGTTAATTTGTACAGTATTAATATCCTTTTTTTTTGTGTTTTTCTTTTTCATTATGTTCGTGTAGGCATTGCCAAATGTGATTGGGCTGGACGGGAGGCCAATGCCGAGGAAGTCAATAAAGTCGAAGGGGGAGTCGGATGATAAGTTCTGGGATTTTGCAAGGCAGTTCTTTTTCGGGCTTTGGGGTTTCCAGCAACGGCCGTACCCACCAGGGAGGCCTATAGATGTTGCTCAGGCTATAGGGTACAAGAAACTTGAGAAGCGGTATTATGATTGTAAGTTTTTGCAAAGCTTTCATTCATTTGCTCCATATTTTAATATTTTTCTTTTTACACAGCTTCTCTCTTTTATTACTTTATGTTTTTCTTTGAGTAGAAGTGTTCTTTTTACATGATCATATTGACTTTTGTTTTTGGGTCTCAGACCCAAGGATTTGATTAAACTTTGTGGCCTTTAGAAATTGATTATGGTACTCTGATGTAAGATTTTTTGGATCTCTGTAGAAATGGTTTACTTGTCGTGCTTGTCATTGGTTTGAATATGCAGGTTGAATATGCAGGTGACATCTAAAACTTCAGCTACTTCGGGTAATAATGTTCTAATGGATGTAACACACTTGAACATTCTTATAAAAGTTAACAAGAAAATGGTTATTTTCTATGTTTGTATGGGTCAGTTTGTTGCAAAATGTGTTGGTCTGAATGAATATGGGCTTTTGCAATTTGAATCCTTTTCAGGAAATCTTGCTTCCGAAAACTTCATTCCATAATATTTGGTTTATGTTTATGTTTCTAATTTGATGAACCTTCATCTTTTATATTTTTTCCACTTGCTTAGTCCAGTGGGGGGGAGTTATCCCCACTGGACTTTGGAGGGAAATTTTTTGTTTTGGGCCTTCTCTATTGAAGAGAGTTGAAGAAGACAGAATAAGATGGAGGAATGCTGTGTATTTCTTTATCATGTGCAATGTAGCATTTGTTTTACAGAAAATTGGCTGGTACTACATCTAACAACCCTTTAGAGGTGTTGCTATCCTATTGGAACAAATGTCTAGTCTAACAACTATTAAACTTATCAATGCCCTAATTATGCATATTTTTTACACGAGTGATCTATTTATCAGATTAGAAACAGTTTATTATGTTTTATTTTATAATTTGTGACATTTAACACATAGAATGAAACTTGATTTATTTATCCATCCATATAATTTAATTGATGATTATAAACTGTTAATGACATTTGAAGTCGTATTATATATGTTTGTTGTTCTATGAGAGCTTTCATATCCATTCTTTGAGGTAATGTGTAATAAATGAGCTTAAATGCCAAGTGTATACACCCACTAAAACATGTATATCTTCTAACCATCTGAATTAAGATAGTCAACAAAATCTTTTGAATTTTTCTAATAAAGAGCAATCTGATAGTTTTCTTCCTATAACATTGGAATATTTAAGAATTTGTCAGTGGGGATTTAAGAACTAAGAATGTGGATGGTAATTGGTATGTTTATATGTTGAGACAAACCATGGCATAAAACTTAAGGAATGGCAAATTTATGTCACTTTGATGTTTTCGAAGTATGAAATTCCATAGGAAACAATTGTAAAATATGGAAGAAAAAAATTATAACATTTTTAGCATTCTTGCGTCTGTGTTTTATTTTTACTTAGGGTAATCCTCCCACTGAAGTATATTCATCGCTCTGCTGCCGTGCTTAATGTGGTTTTGATCTTCAGTCTGTTCATTATTGCACGTCCCATAACTCATGCTTTACCTCAGGGCAGGTGTTTTACAGTTTCAGCTTAAGAAATTGCTTGGCTGCTAAGTTAAATTAATTAAGTAATAGTGAGGCGTTGGTACGGAGTTGCGTCAACTGTGGATATAGACTAGGCTAAGTGCCGGATTTCATCTCCTCTATTCTCTTCACTTACACGTACACTTCAGCCGAGTCCAACAAGGCTTAGGTGCTGAGTATTGTAATGCTGTATAAATTACTAACTTTTGTAAATAGTTTGCTTTTATAGTTCTCGTGTTTAAATGGCGCATGTAATTTTTTAATCTGATGTTATATACTTGTATTGCTTTTCTCTTAGTTATCATGAGGAGTGGTGGGTTTTACTATAAGGATCGCTTGGGTCGTACAAGAGGACCAATGGAATTAATTCAGCTTAAAACTGCTTGGGGTGCTGGAATTATTGATAAGCATACGTTTATATGGGGTGAAGACATGGATGAATGGGCACCTATTGGCATGATATATGGTATGGAGCGTGCAATTGCCACTTGGGAAGGTTTGTAATTTGTCCCCTTTAAATTGTTATCCACTTTGTTGATAATTGGCATATAGAATGTCATTTTGTTTGAATGTATAGTTACAATTCCAGCACCATTTTCTTTTTGTGGATATGCAAGAAGGTGGAATCCATCTCGAAAAGTATTGTTAGTTGATTGACTGGTTTCCAAATCATGAGATGTTTAGCTTCTTCTTCTTCTAAAGGGAACAAGAGGTGTTGTCTTTATGAATCTATAATATTTAGATACGAGAAGTTAATTTGCACTTGTCCATTTACTGAATAATTTTTCTTGAGAATGTGAATTTTGATTTTATAAACTCGTTTTTAATTAGCTGCATGTTTAATTTCCTTTCAGTTAGATTAGGTGCTGCTGCAACAGCTTTCCTTCATAAACTACAGAAAGGTATACCGCCTTGGGTTCCACTAAAGGGGTTCGAGGATAAAACATATAAGCAGCTCCAAGAAGAAGCATGTGAGAGCAAAAGGCGTGATTTAGCTGTGCTAGAAGCTAACAACGGTATTTGGCCCGGTGTAAGGACACCTAGTCATGCCCTGTTTCTTTGGGCAGGTGGCTCGGAGCTAACATCAATTCTGGAAGAGGACCACATGCCCAACAAATACATCCCGAAAGATCTTAGGTATTATCTTCAGTATATTATGCATTTCCCTATTTGCTGTAGATGGTTTTGATACTTTTGTGAAGGGAAATTGCATCATTGGTCCCCAATTATCCAAGGAATCTACTACTTCCTCAACCTTCCACATTTCTGGTTCCAAAATAAGCCTCCAACAACAGAAATAGGTCAAACCTCGGTTAGGTTGTTATGTTGCCCTCACACATCCAACTTAATGTATATAAGTTTCGTTTCTCAGTTCGGACTAATGTCCAAAAATTTGAAGTGGGAATTTGATGGTTCCATAGGATGGTTTCTATGGTCGAGAACTCATCATGCAACTACAATAGGTTGGGAAATTGTGCTTTTTTTCCCTCAGTGAATGGCATATTGTCTTTATGTTGATTGGCTATATCGTATTTTCTCGTCATGAAATAACTAGATTGCATATTTCTTACTTCACTTTTACATGCAAGTGCTCCTTAGCTTTTCCCAAATTAATCTAGTTTACGTGTCATTCTTGTGGGACAGGCTTGAATTGGCTAAAATTATTCCTGGATTAAGGCCATGGGAGGTTATAAGTGTCGAACAAGCCATGGATCAGATCACCTATGGTGGCGAGTGGTTCCGTGAACCTCTTGGTACATTCACGACTGGCCCTCCATATATTCGTGACTGGAATAAGGATGTGATGGTACGTGCTGCCGCAAAATTTCTTATTTTAATTATATTACATTTGTTGGTTCAAATGCACTACATTATGTGAATGTGGCTACTATATTAACACCATCTTGTTCTGATTTCTTTTATGCAGAGATTGTTTCAAATTTTCTACAGCCTAAGTGTTCAAGTGTACAACAAACTGGAGCGGACTATTCCGGGTTTCAGCAGTGTCATGGAGAAGGTCCAAGCTGACTCTATCGCAAGACAGGACAAACGGAAGGCAAAGAGGGCTGCACAGATGAGGGCCGAGGAAGGAGCTGCATTGTTTGGTCGAGTTGAAAGTGATAAATAACACGCTCTTCTGATGATATCTTTTGCTTACTTTCATTTTCTCGTCGATGACATGGCAATTGATTTATCATTGTCAGCAGTTCCTGTTGCATTTATCTCGTGGTCGAATAGGGCAATGATAGAACAGCATTTTGGATTTTAGGACCTCAACAATTTTGAGCTTGTAACTTAGACATAATACATAATGTTAGGCTTACTTTCTTTGGGACAAATATGCGACTTGTTTATTATACAGTTTAGTATTGTCCACAATTACATCGTCAGCCTATTCCATAAAATTTAAAAGAAAAACTTGCACAACTGTACTTATAAATGGTACACTAGTTGAGAGCTATGAGTCCTCTCCCATTGTTGTTCCTGGTTGTTGAGGAAATGGTTGCAACCCAATTCGATCAAGTTTCTACTTGGTTGTGATCTGATACGGCTCAAAATGCAATGCAAAATAGCGCATTATGTTTCCGGGTAACTTTTAAGTATGGAAGAGAAAAAGTTATCTCTTCATAAGCGAATTGTACCTAAACATGTTATTTAAATACAAAAAGGTCTTCTTTATCTAAAAAAAAAAAAAAAAATACAAAAAGGTCAAGTAATGTTAATTGTTAAATGTCCAAGAAAGACGGACTGAATTGAGCAATATACTTGACAAATTGCCAAAAAACAATAAAGATATTAATTCAAAACTAAAGCTTGAGTGATAATTAAAATTCAAAATTCTACTGGATAACTTAAAACAAAATAAACAGCCGACCTA